AATTTTGAACCAGGCGAAACCAGTCCAGTTTCTCACACAACATTTCTTGAAGGAAAATTTTAAGGCTGCCTTTTCATCAACACCTGGACCTCTCTTTCTTCAAATTTTACAACTAAAATTTTCAGCATTCTCATTTTATGTCATGCGTGCTACATCCCGTGTCCACCTCCCCCCTGGTAATATCTGATGAAGGGCCTACTGCATTATACGTACTTCCTTGGTCCAAATACTTCCTGAACACCCTGTTCTCAAACACCCCCAGTGTCCATTTCTTCACCCACACAGAACAGGTAAACTTATACGTGTGTACATGTAAATCTTTGCGTTTTCAGATAGAAGACGGGAAGACAAAAGATTCTGAACTGCATGACATCCTACTCAGTCTAAGAATTAATTGACTGTGTTTAAAAAAACTTTGTTAAAATGAAAAGCCGCCAAACAGGCTACGTTTGAATGCAGGCGTCCTTGAGAAAACAGTCCGAGACTTTTATAAGCTTCTTTCGCCACGCACTCTGATCTCTCAGTTGTACTCCCACTTTTTTACGCCCGTGCGCAGACGGCAGAAAACCCCTCATTGTCTTTGGTGCCGACCGACTAATCCTGTACGTTCCAGTTCATTTACATTTGTTCGTGTCTGTACCATCGGTCGATAAGTCGTTGTTTCCACAAGTCGTCTGGCTCGCTCGGAGATGGCTCTCTCGAGCACGGAATTCATACCCGGTCTCTTCTTCACATCCTCCATCTTTCTCGCGCGAGATCGTTCGCTCACCCCGTATTTTTCACACACGCTTCGCATCCCAAAATCCCCCTTCGGCTTATCAACTGCGCTCTTCGGCAAACACTTCTACCAGACAAAGGCTGCTTATTCGGTAACCTTGCCGCATTCACAACTCCGGTCGACAAGTGGCGCCTTCATGCGGTCAGTCATCGAACTCTACGTACGGGGGTTTCATAAACATGTGACAAAACGTCACGAAATTTGAAGTGGGGCATCAGAATCTTGGCGTCCACACATATGGCACGTGTATGTCCTAATTAAACAACGTCAGTATTTACGAATTAAAAATCAAGTAGCAATAAAGAGAGGCAACGGACCAGAAGAGTCACGCTATGCGTACCTTTCCTCCAGACTTCTTATAATACACTTCATGTGATTTGAGATAAAAGTTAAACACCGGTGAAAAGCGGTGCGTGCAGCATGCTTTAAACAACGGAGTACAGCGACTTTAAAAAGTTTGGAAACGCGAGCTTATAACAACGACTGTTCCAGTCACAATCGCCTAATCTTGATGTGGGGCTGCCCTCAAACAAAAACGCACCAGGGAAAGATGTGTTGATGTAACTGGATGAAATTTCAGGCTTGTCCGTTCTTGTCCCATGCAATCATCCGGACACGTGCAACCCAATCACAGTAAGATATGTGTAGTGCGTCAAACAAAAGTATTCGACGTAAGATAATGTAACAAGAAAACCTTCCAGGGAGTAATGAAACCCGAGGAATGCAAGTAATAGTTGACCAACGATGCAGAAATGTGTTTTATTTAGTTGGATTTGAGGTTTTCACGGAGGTCCGTCTGAAGTGGCTGTCTTCTGGGTTGTTGTTCCGTGTAATCTGGTAAACGTTTACCGACGTTTCAGAGGTCCTTGCTGCCTTCTTCGCCCTGATGATGGAAGCAGCAAGGACCTCTGAAACGTCGGTAAACTTCTACCAGACTACACGGAACAACAATCCAGAAGACAGCCATCTTCAGTGTTTTATTTGACGATGCGCAATCAACTACTGTTCCCGGTACAGATTGCAAAGCGTATAAAACCAGAAAGATGAACGGCAATACGGAAATATGGGGACGGAAGAAGTGTGGTCTACTTTAAATTGTATATATCACAAAACACGTCTAGAAGCGCTGAGAAAAATAATGAAACAAACGAGATTATAACCAAATAAATCCCGATACGAAGTAGAGCACTAAGCCTAACTATTACACCGTTATATTCAGTAACAAAACATCGAGAACACACATCACATACTGGCTGCAAGGTTTTCCCGAGATAAATTTCTGAAGACTTGTGTTCAATGCATAATCACTGTATTTGTAATGAACGGAATTTTACAAAGTTCGTAGCCTTGAAGACCCAAATGCATTTCTAAACATATTCCAACACATACTCATCATACTGGAAAGTGCCAGTTTAATTAAATATTAACTAGATAATATTTTGTGTACATTTTCTTCACACAACACGCTGTTGACTACGCAAACAACGTGTGTACTTCATGAATAATTTATAACCTGTGTATTCAGAACGCACCTACTTGCAACGCATAATAATTTGCCAACTTCCTTCTGTTTAATTATTGACACTGAAGTACTTTCTGTATGAATTCTGTCAAGGACAAATAAAGTGTTAAGTAGGACCTGCTGCGTCCTAATGGAAACGCTGCCATTTTACTTGCCTTTAAGTAGCAAAGATTTGCGTAAATAGGTCGTGACAACATGAATACGAAGACTAAACTGGCTGAGGAAATGTGTTCAGAATAAAGTGCGACGAAAATTCGGGTCCTGTGACACTTAAATACACGACAGTTAAGGAAACTCATGTGTCACGATCGCCCTGAAGATGATGGCAGTCATCACATCTAAAACGTCGATCAATTTCAACAAAACTGCATGGCACATCATCCCGGAACACAGCCATCTTAATGCTCGCCGTCGGGAAAAACCTTAAATCTCACTTAACGTAACTATATTGCTGCAGTTTCAACAAAAGTCGCTTGTTGGACAGACTAAAGCCACGGTAAACGTTTTCACAGTACGTAGATAAGGTTCAATTACTCGTCTATTCTACTATAGAAATTGGCTCCTGGCCATTGTACAAACGAAATAAAAGACAAGCAAATAATCTGGGCACGCGTCATCTGGATAGAGGCAGGGTGAGAGTGGTTCATCTTTTTTCAATTGAATTTCACGGCACGTTCGGTGAAACAAAACGAGGGCATACCGCTGCTATCATCAGACACTAGGACAGCGACAAGAGACTGCAGAAGGGTGCGCTGAATAAAAGCTGAAGCGCATTAGAGTACTAAGCTGACGGGTAAAGAAAGGAGAAGAACGGAGAGGAGAGGCTGAGAAATAAGGCATCATCACCTTTTGAATGTCAAGCAAGGCAAATCTAAGAGGAAAGCCTAGGGGTGAATTTGATTTAATGTGATATACGAACCAAGCGGGGTGGGGAGTTGCCATGGAAACCGTAACATGGGATAAAGTAAAAATACAAGAAGTTCTGCAAGGAATTTATGACGCCTACGATTCCGAGGCTGTATGATTCTCATGTTAATTTAACTCGTCACCGAAAATAATTTATCTTCGTTTCTACTAATGACCTCACGTCAACATTTGTATGCAAACGTTTTCCCCAAGCACGGTAGTCGGCAAACGTTCACTTTCGTATTAAATTCAATAACTTATTTCTGTTTAAGTTTCGAACCACAGGACTACTCTCACACGAAAGGCAACAAGTTAGTTTGAATATTCGTGTCACAAAACCGGAGTAAATTTTTTACAGACATCTGTGAAACCACCACATGCATTTGAAACGGGAATAGATAATTTATGAAGTCAGGTACAATTTGTCCATGATACCCACTCATCCAGTCAAAGTCCAACGGGAATTTGAGACTCCTGCGATCTGCCACCCCTTCCACGCCTAGCCAGTTGAGTTACCCTGTCATTCGGATCTTTTTAACCAGTGTTGATGTTTTATAAGTTGCTTTTATTACAAGGCACGACTTTTTACGTTCGAGTTCCGATACGTTATCACAGTGTCCTACCAGCGTATCCGAGGAACGTTTTATATATAGGCGAAAGCAGATAGCGCTAAAAGACATAGAAATAACATTAAAAAAACTACGTTAAAAAGTTTCGGGTCTTGACGTGTAACGAAAATCGTTGAAACGGTACGACAAACCTACACCAAGTTCTTTCCTTCTACATTTCACATCCTCCATGCGTAAGTTACGATTTCGACTCCAATGACACATTTGCACAGCGTACTTTACATTCACAAAACATGACGCTGAACTTACAGGCGGACACATATGCCGGCCCTTGTAACCACCTCTAAAAGTCGACATCATACCCTCATACCGAGGGCGATGTGGATTTTGTACAGCAAAATATAAAATAAAAAGAATTTAGATAATTTTTAGCACAATACGCAAATGTTACATCTACTTAAAAACAGCTGAAGTGCAACAAATACGGAACATGCTATAAATTACACAAGTTATCTCCAGATGGATTAATGCAATCTCTTGGTAAACGCGATTCGATCCAGCACGGCTCTGGGCCCAAATAAAGAACAAGAAAAATCCGTAGCAGTCCATCGTAATTATAAAATATCTTCCCTATTTTGTCACATGTTTATTAGGCAGAAGTCCTTTTCGACTTCGATTACGAGCAAGTATCATGATAAGGATTAATTCAGTGTAAAACTCCGTTACGTACTTCTTACACAGTTCAGTGTCTGCTAAATTATCGACGATTATCAGCACGCGAGTCTACCTTAAATTCTAGCGTAACAACTACGTCAATTATACTCCCTCAAAATGAGCGGTAAACGTTTACAAGACTAATCTACTTTACCATTACCAACCCCGAAGATTATTCAGGCTTAACACTTACCTTATCGTCTTCACCTTCGCTATCACACTGAAAAGAAACAAAGAAAACATTATTACTCGCCTGTATTTAACAAATACGGTGTCCACATTTCTTTTCCAGGGCAACAAACTTACACAACAGACGTCCCTGATTATGAAGGGAAATTCCATACTCAAACACAATACTTCTCAACCAGTTTTCCGCAACTTCTTGAACTCAATTCTAGTCTGACAGTGTTGTAATAGCAGTGTTTCCCCGTCCATTCCAGTTTTGTTGTCTCATAAACCTTTGCTGCTGTTTCTTCATTAACCTGGACACTGTCCCGACATTTTCATGCAATTAAAACCAGTAAATACCGCGGATACTTTACGCGGATGATGAACAGCTTCAACCGCAAACACAGCTGGCAAATTTAAAGGCTCGGAAGTCATTAAGTCATGCCTTCAAACGTTCTTCACCGCCTTTCTTTCATATAACAATGAGATTTCTACTGTATTGCTAATACTGGTGAATAACAGGTTGTTGGTAAACAAAATAATTCGACAAGCTGCAGCCTATCTTAAGATATAAATTATAATGCTTAAAATAGGCCATGGCGGCTTTTTATTCGACCTTGATATAATTATAATCAACCTAACATTCAACTCGACGTTAAATAACCTCTGTAGCAAAAATAACGTCATTAAATAAACTATGAACTAAATTTCTCGTTAATACGACGCCTCCGATCGCCCCTGCCGGGAATCAACCCGTGGATACTCTGACCAATCGCGTCTCCGAACATTCACGGACGGAGACTTTTGCTACATCTAACGACTGGAGAGGTTATTTAACGCCGGATAAGATGATAATTAAGCCTAATGGAGCGTGGCGATCGAGGAGACGGCAGTAACATATCCTAACTTCAAGCAAATGAGGTAAACCACGGAAAATCTCATTCAAGATACGTAATTCTAGATCAGGGTCCGGTACCTCCCGAAAACGCTTCTACCTACCACTTCGTTGGACTCAAGAATGTGTTCATAAAGCCAATATTGTACTCACAAATCTGCGTCTACGTAACACGCAAGATACTTTCACTCCTGCAAAAAAGGGTTAACTGATCCAATCTGTAAACGTCTTGCACTTCCCCTTTCCAGTTATACTCGGCCGCTACTCATCGTAACTTCAGTTTTTCCACCTTATTTCCCAACAATCCCATTATCCAGAACCGTTTTTATTTGATTTTCTTTCTACTCATTCTCCATCCTTCTGTATCCTCGTCCTGCTTTCTGTTTCCCTATCTTCAGTTCTACCACTTTCGTCCAAATCCGGACCACTCTGTCTCGGATATCCGACTTCACTTCTTTTTTCTTCAACCCTCCACTTCCCACTTTCTCCTTCCGCAGAACCATTAATTATCTTCATTGTACGAAATATATGAAGTGAACGCATAAGAGGAGGTCGTGTTCCCGTATTTCAGCTCAGAAAGTACGCAACAAATTTCGAATAAATTTGGTAACAAAATCTGCAGGGCTCGTATGTTATTAGATCTAACTAACAAACAGTTGCTCTATTAGTCAAGAAACTGCGAGCATTCATTTTCGACCTATCGATCCAAAATAACCTGTACTTTACATGGGATAAAACTGAACAATATCAGGTGTCTCGCAAACAGCTCACCGTACAAAAAAACAACATAAAATACAGTTCTCGTAAAGCTCAGCAACTTTTATTTCAAACGTTATTCGATATCCTTACAGTACGTTCAAAAAATGATGTACACACATTTACAGAATATCATCCTTGTGTCTATACATATTTTTTAAGACTCTGTATATAACGAAATACAAGGGAAATGATACATGTGCAAGCTGTTAATTGTTAGCTTTATAACAATATATCAACATCCGCAATTAACAACGTACTTCGTTCAGAGAATGTATAAATGAAAGTATCGACTTGCGTGTGTGACACTCTGTAATCGATTATATTAATGACAGAAACAACTGTGCTGAGAACAATGGGCTTCATTTTGCCACGTTACGACACGAAACTGCAAAGGAACTTACAGCATGGACAGACAATAGTTGTTCTGTGTTGAACAATCGGTTTCATTCAGCACTTACAGAGATCAAAGTGTCGAATGGATTATGAGACACCCTGCAGTCAACGAATGTCAAACGTACACAATGAGAATTGTGCGAGAGAACAATGGGCTTCAGACATTAAAGTGGGGAGGTACATACCAGACACCCTATAGAATAACGCGAGTTATTTGTTCAGGCAAGGTAATAAACCAAATAAAGATGTCAAAGATTAAAGACCTCTATGAAGTGATTTAACAAGCCACATATACCGCTGCCTCAGTCCGTTCGATGCACACAAGCTCTGTTTCGAGAACTTCAATGTAATATTCTCTGTATACGTTTTCGCGTGCTACAATAAAAGCTGCTGTCGGATTTTGACATCATCTCTAACAGTGTTCAATTGTTTAACAACTCGCTGGCGCCGTTTGGTTAAAGTTATTATCACATAAAACATAGTATTTCGGTTGTGTTTATTATTGTCACCGTTTTTGTTTCCTCCCTTGTCTCTTTTTCTGGATGACTGCCTCCCGGATTGCTAGCTTCCTTGGCAAAGAGCCAAGTTTTCCTACATCAAACTTCTCTTAACATCATAAAATAGCTCCAGCTACATTCCTCAACGGGTAGGTAGATAGTAAAAAATAAAAGACCACACTTCAAGACGTTTTATCGATAAAAAACGAGAGAGAACATCCAAAGTAAATGGTAATCAATACTCCATTTCGTGAGCTGTCGTGTCTTTTATCCATTCATCACCAGAGGAGGGTAAAAAACGGACGGGGGTATGAGAAAAGGTCTCCTACTGCACTGCTGCCATCTATGTATTACACTGGCAAACAATTTGTTCCGGCCATGACACAAAAGAACACAGTAAAAACAACCTATTACTTTCTGGCTATTGATCGCAAAGCACTCGCCCCTATTCTACCCCTCTGGCAATCCCTCGGCCCTAAACATTATTCCCCGCGGAAAAACAACAAAGGAAAGTCGTGGTTGGGGTGATAGAAGAACAGATGAAGTAGTAAAGGAAGAACCAGAGAGCTAAAAGGCGGTCAAACAGGAAGAGTAAATAGTCATCATGGATGTAAGACAAAGACACAGCAGACACTCTTCTTGACTAATGATTACGTCGCATCTTAGTCTACATTCAGCTGATACGGAAATAAAGAGCCCCCCCCCCCACGACATTGACGGTAATTAATATACTTGATATCGCTTAAATGATGACATTTGGTTTCCCTATCTTGATCACATTCATGCATACATTTTTCTAACGCCGCCCCTTTCAAATAAAACTGACACAAACCAACTCCTATAATCCTAAACAGCATCTCTACTGCTTGGCTTTGCTTAAGGCAACAAACTTACATTTATATATCTTCTCCCACTTCTACGTAAGTGACATTCGCAGAATGTTGCTCTCAGGCGACAGACAACCTGGGATTTATAAAGAATAAAACAATAAAGATGGCACTTCTGATGTTACGGAAATCAGTGAAGGTATTCTGGCTGTGAATCTGCGTGGAGTGGTATCAACGTCACAGAAGAACAACCCCCCTCCCCCCAAACCTTTTGGGTTGAAAACCGCAAATCTCATATAATAATATAAAAGTTTTGTTATGTAAAACGGGTGCACTTCCGACAATTGCCTTGCATTCGTCACACGAGATACCAATCGCATAAAATTGTTATCAGTGAGTACAAACGTAAATTCTTAAACATGCGATGAGGCAGGCCTGTACTTCGACAAATGTGTGTGTCTGATCAGAGCGTAGCTCAGCTATGGCAGAAAACACTTTGGAATGTCACGTACAACTGACCAGTCTATTACATGATTCTGCATATTTATACAAAAACTAGCAGAGTGGCCGCAGTGTAGCCGCGGAGGAAATTCTCCAAAAGCTCATTTCTTACCAGTCTTTATTAGCCGAAAGTCTGAGTATTCGACACGTATCGTTGATATCCTTGAACAAATCTACACCGAGACTAAAACCCAGACGTTGTTAAGTTTGTGGTTTTTATTCCTGTAATATCTTCGTTGAAAGAAACAACTTTGATCTTGGAGCTGTTTTTCTGTTACTCTGATTTTAAGAGCTACAGATAACGCCTTATCCGGGATACAAACCCAGGAAATTTCTTCGCGTTTTCACCATTCTAAAATGTCTCCACGAGTACTTTGTACGACGATATTACAATCACACCTACAAATTCTGCTCCTTTTATGAGTTAAGAATTACAAATACGGCTATAACGCGAATGTTCGAGGTTATATACTCTAAATCTGAAGAGTCTTTTCTTGGCTTTTAATTTACATTTCCTACAAGCTTCATCATGTAGACCAGGGGTTCTCAAAGTTGGGCGGCGAGGATTCTTTGCTGGGACTACGGCTGTGGATTCGGTACGAAAATCTCCGACTCCTTCGCAAAAGCTCAATATGTATTAATAAGGGTAAACCTACAAAATGGTAAATGACACCGTAACAGATTTCATCACCACCACGTGAATCATCAGCCTACTTTTTAGACTTATAACTTATATTTAAATATAGTCTAATGGTTATTGCAGAAATCGGTTGATTTGTAGACAGTTTGTATTCTTAAAGTACCGGAGCCAAAGTTACAAAGCGTTATCCCCACATCAAGTGGCTCAACGCGTCGTTGAATCTCCCTTAAGCGTGAGACCGCCAGCGGCTCACACGGTATAGAAACTGTTCTTAAGATTTTATATCGGTACATTTTTACCGACTACACCTAAAATTGCTTGGAACTCCACAGCACTGGCTGGGACGCGTTAAGGAAGTCAAAACATAAAAAAAATTATATTACTGTTAACTTAGCCATGTAAATGTTGTCGACGAAATTTTCAGTTTAGGTTTGTACGTACAAATGTACCTCTAATCACACAACAATTAATAAAATATATCGGAATATTTAGAACAAATTCTGTTTCTTGTTTGTCCCTAATTACCAAATTATGGGTCGCGAACAAAGAAGTTTGATAATCGCTGATCTAGAATAAAGCATTTGAAAGAAAATGTACGTCACCATGATGTCTCTTTCTGAGGCGCTGAACCATGTAAGTATGGAGTTATGATGGGACATTTCGGAGACCGTCTGTCAACATCAGGGTTCATGTGACTGACACGGCCAATCACCCATGAAGTCTCCATTGCATCCTGTCGCCGTAAAAGCGTCAAATCTATCATGTATCACAGTTTCTTCCTAAGACTGGTTTTAATACGGATTCACAGTTGCTTTTAACATTTCCCAACCCATTATCTGTAATTCGCCAGTGTGTATTCAACACCTCCCATAGCAAGACATTCACACGACATTGGTGTTACAGCGAAGTCGACAAAAAACAACGCTCAAATAAAAATTCTAGATGAAATATGCATGAGTCTAGAAATGTGAACACCTATAACATTTCCCAGCAAACAGCACACTCGCAGGATTTAAACTTTTACGGAACATATTCCTACGGCATGACAAAGTAAAGGCGAGACAGTGTTAGATGCATAAAACGAGATGAGAGGAAAATTACTTCTTAAATGCATCCCACTTCGTGACGAGTTGTCAAGAATTTGAGTCTTAGGCAATGCAAGTTTCAATATTGTCAGAATGTCGTCTGAAGGGATGTGGGGTGGGGTTGGGTGGGGTTAGTGGGAGACAGTCATCTTGTTTCTGCATCGACCGCAGAAAGCAGTCTGAGTAAACAATATACAACAACCGACTCACAATGGAAATCAATCTTGTAATTCGTTTCAACATTCTTTCAGTATGTCAGAAATAATACATTTCTGGCGTTCCAACCCTAATCCGATTTCATTTAGCTGCTACTAAATCCAAACCAACATCTTTATCAGTCGAAATTGCAATTTTAATATCTGTGTATCGCAGGACTAAATTATCTAACAAAGACATAACAGAACGACTAACATCAAAGAAAGCTAGTGAACACCATCACACGCCAGTTCACTCCAACTCCATACCCTATAACATATCGACGTAACGTACATCTCTTCAGTTTTTCAAGGTTTCCTCACCAAAAATTGTTCTTTCTTGTTTCCAGCATCCGGATGTCTAGCCAATCGTGAGTGATGTGCATTAATCAAAAAATTCCTAGTTACTTGATACCTGAAATTTACCACGTACACCATCACACATACGTTCAAGGTCCAGTCTCAATAAACAGATCCATACGCACGAGATATAGACAATTTTTAAAAGCTTCAGAATCTGAGGGTAACAAACAGAAACGAGATTCATTATAAACGTTTGGTTTTAACTAGTTCATAAAATGTTACTATTTGGCATTATTTCCAAAATATATACACACACGCACACAAGATACACGTACGTGAGATTTGAGGTTTTTATAGCGGCGAGGATGTAAACGATCACAAAAGATAACTTCAAAGGATGACGGCAAAATATTGTTCCTTGGTTCATTTACGTTTTATCAAGCATGAGTGACATAATCTTCGTTTGGAGAGAAAAAATGGGGTTTAATAATGAAGAACACGTGCTCGTAACTCATGCATCTACTCAGAGAAGAGTCCTTCTTGAGAAGCTTTTAGCAGCTCAGCTGGTCAAGAAATACCCAGTCTTTTATGAAACCCCGAACGTTCAGTGACCAAAGATACCCACACTCTATGTGACATCGGCGTCATGTTTAATCACGAAGCAGTACACCCCTGTTACACACAACACACAAAAATTAACGCTAAACCTGCAATCACCTTCTTAAAAGCCAACGAAGTACGATAATACCCAAATTAAAACTGCAGCTATAAAATCTCGGAGTAGATTTCCTAGCCAAAATTGCCAATTATCCATCCATTAATTACTCTCGGCGGATATGGATTATGTTCCTTCAGCAAGGTGATAAAATTTACTTCGCAGTTAATCTGATGATAGCTAAGTTGCGTCTCCGTTCCTATACGAGCGCTGGGGCCTTGGTCTCCATTAAAGCTATTGCATAAGGCCCATCATTCGAAGTTAAATCTATCCTTGCTAATTTACGATATAACGAACCCACAACCCCGTAGGTAAGTGCCCTCCGAATACCGGACAGAGTGCCGTTAAACAGCCTCCTAATGTTACTACTTTATTGCCCAGACAACGTTAGTAATCAGGAAATTATTTTAATGATGGCGACTACTGGAGTCAAAACCAGCATCAAATAAAAACGCCTTTACATTTATGGGAAGATCTCGTTTCTATAATATAACTACTTATATCATTAAAATATAAAATAAAATTGTACTTACGATATAGCCTTTTCCTGAGCTACAATGACTGCTGACCTGAAACATAAATACAAGACGCGCATGTAGTAGCAGTAGTGGAAAAAATGTGCCAGTAGCTCTCTCACCAAAAGACCTCAAAAACGAATTTATTTTGCATATGGTCTTCACACAGCGTACAAAAAACCCCAAAGAATTTTATTTTTATAAACATGTTATGTCATTAGCTTCTAAATAAACTTCTGTTACACTCGCTGTTCTTGATCCCGTAATTAAAGTGGTTTCGTTATAAAAATGTCAGACTCACTACATGACAAGTACCAACATAATAATGTGACTATAGGCCCGGATGGAAATGACAAAGTAGATCCCTTCTCCGCCTCTCAACGGAGTGGCTCGTCTTCAAGGTTTCAAATGGCAGCGGTCCCCAGAGGGTGGATGTTATTAGGAAAACTAGGCAAACGCTGATAACAGATAAAGGTTGGTCCGCCAATCTGAAGGTTTGGCGGGGCGTTAATAATCCCCTTTCCATAAAAATGAATGCTAAAAAAGCAGGAAGGATTCTGAAATTTAAGGGAGAAGTAACAGGATGGGAAAAAACCCTACAAAACGTGAAGCTTTAGAACGTACACTTTTAACCAAATATTAAGATGATAATATACAAGGTGGTGAGATGGGAGCAACACATAGAACGCATAGGAAAGATGCGAAACTCAGAGTCTACAATTTAATCAGAAAATGTGAAAGGAAGATACGATTTACAAGACCTAAGCATAGATGACAGAAATCCCGTATTTTTTTAAAAAAAATTATTTCTTCCGAATCATTTCAGCATTTTGCTGCCAATATTCGTTTCCTTTTCTCAAAATGTTTAATTCTGGGGTCCACAAGCTGCCAAAACTTCGGGAAAGTACGGCAAGTCTAAAATGACGCTGGCCCACCTCAAAGAGTCGCTCTCCTTCACCCCTGAAACGGCCAAGTTTGGCTTATAAACTGTCAATACTCACATCACTGAGCCTGTCGTGTGAGCTATCTCGATCACGAGAAGCTATGGGCCCGTTTAACCGCTCTGACGCCCTTCCACTGTCGTCGCTTGTGCCCGCAGCGTCGTGGTTAAGTGACGCCAGACACTGAAAGTTCAAAAGACAAAATAAACACACATGAAAACACAAGCAGAGATAACTGTTATTTCACTAAACAATATGACTACAAGGGTGTTTAAGAAAAGAAAAACTAAGACAGACAGGGCATCGTTCCTCTGTTGTTAATCACTTCCGTGCAACGAACAGAACAAAAATAACAAAACTATTTCAGTACTGTTAACTCTGCCTACATTGATCTAAATATGTGATATATATGAACATTCTATTAAACTATATGGAAAAATGCGCAACTTGGGCTTTCCAGGATGAGCTGTATTGAATGCTGAAAATTATCCAGCGTTTCGGCAAAGACTGGGAATAAGAGTAGACAAAACAGGCATTATCTGTGGAAGTTATAGGTTACTACATAAAAAGGAAAAATAATAATCGCTTTATAAGATTCTCTGCTTGGAAAGGGCTAACCAATGAGACAAGACTTTAACATTTTCAGAATATGCGAGATATTCTTATCTAACGTGCAGGGCCTTCAGGAGTTGAATCTTTCCACTTGAAATTAGAACCACTTAAAAATATGTATAACATTCTATTTGTGCTTTATATGAAATAGGTATTATATTGAGCTAATAAAGGCCAAAACTCAATTCGCTCTACATTTTTCAGTTTAGTCTGCAAATCCAAACTGTCAGCGAAATTAGCTGAGTGGTCTCTGACACGTCACTGTAAAAAATTAATTAATAAGGATGTGGAAGGAAGTAGTCATGGTCTATTTTAAAGCACTATCCCAACATTAATCATATGGGGAAAGCAGGCCACCGAAAGATAGCCGACTTCCGGGCCAAAAACGGAACTAGACTTCACAGATACGAGGCTTAAGAAAGCTTACTTCATCACTCAATCGCGACATTGGGTTGAAACTATTTTCAACTGGTGAGATTTCATTTTCTCGCGGCGGAGGGTATAAAGATGACTTTTTTGGATGTTGCACCTGGAGTCTGACAGACGTCTGCCGACGTTTCAGAACTGCCTGCTGCCCCATCAACAATACTTTCATCTATTTAGCATATCCGTAATTCTCGGCACATCCCATACAAGCAGGAGCTACAAATATCAGTCTTCGGGCTTTACGGAAGAGATCAAAGCGTGGCCGACTCATCAACGTTGTACAGTGGGCGTTAAAGCCCATCCCAACTGAACTTCTCCATCAGAGATAAAAGTACATTAGCTCCGAGACTAGCCAAGAGCAGGGTTACAGATGAAGCCTCTAACTTATAACCGAGGTATGGTAACGTGCTGCTCGCTCAGGGCTACGTAGAGCTCGTGATGAAGTGGTAAGTATGACGCAATGGTGGGATAATCAGTAGCAGAAAACCAAAAAAAAAAATCTCTGAGAAAACCCTGCTTCCATGCCATTTCCTCCACCACAAACCTAACATGACGCAGCCCATGACTGAATCCAGGTTTCCGTGATGAGAAGCCATCGTCTTGCCACCAAAGCTGTGGCAAGGCTCCATCAGAAATAGGCCTATAATCGCCATACACATCAATGCCTCTGCTTATGTTGAAGTTTCTCCAAAGTTTCTGAGCCAGAATAAGTCTGAAGTTAGGAAAGGAATAAGAGAAGTTTGCAGCTGGAAACAACGAATCGAACTGACTCTGGTAGTAGAATATAAGATGTTAACAGCATACCTAATCAACTGCTCAAGAAATGTCCTGCTTTTATATAAATCGATACTTATTGAATGTGTTCACAAAAGTCAGCCAATGAAACCAGTTTCATTTAGCTCATCGCTGAACTCCCTTCTTCTGTAAGATTCATTTTAATATCATCCTCTTATTTACAAGACCCCCAAGTGTCCTCCATCTCCCATCTTTGATTTTATATCCCCAAAGTTCCTCACTATGTAGTTTCCTCTAGTACTTTGTAATTTCATCTGCCCTAATTAAAAAAATCCTGAGCCCTTTGCACTTAAAACACTTTCAACATCGATGTTCTTCGTTTAAATGAGTATAAATTTCACACAAACGTAAGACAACCGTTAATATTATAGCTTTGTACATTTAATCTTACGTCTTGGGAAGAAAGCGGAAATAAATGGTTCAACACTGCTAATTCCGAAGCCCGGAGTTCGAGACAAGCCTTAACAATGAGTAATGTCCAAGTACCTCCCACCTCCCGTCCTCACGAAGACACGTCAACTCAGGAGGAAGAAGAAATGTCTGGCGAAGCTAAAGCTGCCTGCGTGCTTAACAACTCCCCGTGAAAGCGTCGTTTCCACACGTTTATAAATTCACTGATCATAATAATCACTTCATTTAACGATGTATAATCTTTTAGAGGATATTGGTCGATTATCGGCATGACAATTTTCGTTTCTGGTTGCAAACGTCAGTGTGGAGAGGTCATTCATAAAAAATCTGCTACATCCTTTCAAAGGGACGAGACTATTCATTAAATAAATGACGGTCAACGTGAGACCGACGTATACACATGACAGCGACATTAGCGAAATAATTGTTCTGCATCCATAAAATACCAGGAAATTCGTCATCTTTACCAATGTTCTCACTGAAATTGCATCGTTATTTTGGTGCTGAATGTAATAGGGAATATAACGGTATTATTTGTGGTAGGCCTATGTGTCAAGGGTTACAAAGTTCAAATATCTGGGAACAACAATAACAAATGAAAATGACACTCATGAGGAAGTTAGGAGGAGATTAAATTCTGGAAATGCTTGCTACTTCTCAGTTCAAAATATTTTGTCTTCCCGTCTGATTTCTAAGAACCTGAAAATTAAAGTGTACAAACCAATAATCTTGCCTGTTGTTTTGTTTGGGTGCGAAACATGGTCGCTCACTCAGGGGGAGGAACACAGATTGCAGGTGTTTTGAGAATTTGGTATTGAGGAGGATATTTGGGCCTAAGAGAGAAGACGATGGGGCATGGAGAAAACTGCATAATGATGAGCTTAAAAATCTGTACTCCTAAAAAAAAAGACAGGGTCCAGTGGAGGGCTTTGGTTAATTCGGTGATGAACCTTCGGGTTCGGTAAGCCATCTAGTTAGTTAGTTAGTTAGGCCTATGTGTCCACAAAAAGACCCAACTTCAACTGATAAAAATTTAATAATCACCTTGAAATGTCAGAGATGGTAGGAAGTTAATCAGATGTTCAGGTCAGAAACAATATGTGTAATAAAGAAATGTTGGCAGCACGAAAACGGTAAAAGGAAAAAAAACACCACCTTCATTTATTATCATTCGACGTATTAATTGCCGCTGATGTTTCCAAACCCTAGATGATGGTGTATTAATGAACAAGGGGAGGGGTTCTGGCAGTAAACGCCAAGTTTCCGCCAGTTTAAATTCATCTTTACGATCAAAATCAAACTAACAAAACAAAAATAAAAATTACGTGGCACAAAATATGCTCCAAATATCAGTTCCAACAATCGTACCATGTTGCATAAGCTTTCCCTGATTGGATTTTAATTAATAAACATATGCAATATACACACTTATTTCCATGGAAGGCTTTGTAGTGCATTTCGTGCGAGAGACCGTGTTGCCTGCTATTAACAACTCTCTCTCTCGTCCCCAAACCTACACGCTACACCAGATTATAAATTATTCCGCAGCTTTGACAGAACACTGCAAGTTGGAAGTTTGATTGAAAATATACAACCAGCAAATGCTAGGCTTAAAGTGAAAGGGAGATGAGTAACGGGGGGAGGGGTGCGCGATGCAATTACCCCCACAATCAACCAGTTAAGCCAATCAAAAACGGGTCGCCAATTACAATCTCGCATTATCTGACAGACCTACACAGTCCATCGAGGACAGATGATAAAGGTTTCCTCGTGACGGAAATAATTTAAAAGCGAGGGAATTAGGGGGAGTTTGAGTGGTAAAAGTGAGTGTGGCTGTATTTTAAAAGGGGGTGGTAGTGGTAGGCATGTTCAGAGAGAAACCTTTAAAATGTAAAATCTCACAAAGGACAAAATCAAGGGATGCGTACTGCGGGGGTGAAAAAAGGGGGGTTTACCCGATGGTAATTAATGTAAGGATAATTATTCTAACCAAAATACTATTCTCATTTTATTTTCTAACCTAAGTGGTGAGTCTTAAAAACGCTTAATACCGGCAAAAGATCAAACATTTTCATTTTGAATTGTTCATGAATACAACCTAAAGAAGGAGTACAAAACATCCCTACATTTGTTACTCGATGGATGCACGGAGTGTTAAGCGCTGGGAAATTAAACAATTTTCGCCAATTTTCTTTGCCTGAAAGCTTATCATAGGCAGAACTTAGGATCTGTAAGGGTTTTTGTCTTTTTTTTTATTATTAGTGTTCTGTCTGAGGACAGGTCCATATGAACAGGATCCTTCCATCCTTTCCTCGGACTGGGACCTGTTCATATACGTTCTTGGCAGATGATCCAGAAGTGGTTTGCCATTGCCTTCTTCTGTGTGTGAATGGAGTAATTGTTGGGATGCCACGGAGGAAAACTCCGTGTTACCTAGACCACGGCCTTGCCCAACACAAGTTATAAATCTGAGCACCACCGGGAATTGAACCCGGGACCCCAGGATTACAAGGCCAGCGTTCTAACCGCTAGACCACTGTGGCGGTTGCTTTTGTCTACCCCCTCATAAAAAGCGTCACCCCACGAGGCTTATCTGCTTCCATCATCGCCCTGACGATGGATGCAGCAATCAACTCTGAAACGTCAGAAAACTTCCGCCGGACTGCATGGTGTAACGTCCCAAAAGACGGTCATTTTCACACTCGCCACCGTGAACAAAATATTTATAAAGATCAATAAAATACCTCAGTGACGACAATAAGGCGTGTTTTCTTGGAGGTAAGAATAATACTTTTAAATATTGTTAAGGTAAGTTTTGTCCTTTAAAGGGTAAAAATAGTGTGAAACTACTCTTTTCCTCATTTTCTGCAATTCATATTTCATTCTGGACTTATTATATGAAGTTACACAGCACATTCAACAGAGAAAGCTTTGCTAAT